CCCGCTCCGGCTCCAATCCTGGAGCCGATTTTGTTGCCTTTTCCGGTCGCTGTTTTTTGGCCGTTTCCATTTTCGAGGGACACTTTTTCGGAAACGGTGAAAAAACGGCCCTGCCGTTTCCGGGGCCCACTAAGCGCCTTGCCTCGTTCCTGCTCGGCCCGCGCGGCGCCCGAGCGGCGCCCCGCGGCGCTGGCCTCGGGCCAGCGGGGGCCCGGCAGGCCCTGGGCACGGGCCGGCGCGCGAGCGCCCGCCGAGCCTGGCCGGCGACCCCCGAGGACCCAGTCGGGCAGGGCCCACTCGGGCAGGAACCAATCGGGCAGGAACCAATCGGGCAGGGGAACAAAAAATGGCATAAACATGAGAACTCGGAGGTCCGAGTTCTTATGTTCATGTCATTATTCGTTCCCCTAAATCGGGCAGGGCCCACGGGGCCGACTGGCGCCCCGATGATTCAAGCAGTGGCGATGCGTCCTGGCGTGCCTCCTAGTCCTACCAGACAGTGTTCTGAGAACCTTTTTTGCGGTTCCCGCGGGGTGTTCTCAGAACCTTTCTGGCGGAGTCTGTCTTGTTCTATCACATCGGGCTCAGGTTCTAAGAACATTGTTTTTGCTCTTAGAACATTGTCGGGTTCTGAGAACATTTCGTGGTAGGACTACAGGAATGCCGGGACGGTCGGTCCCTGCTCAAACTGGCACCCCGATTCTTGAAACGAGGAGGAGGGCGACGACGATCAGGATGGGGAGGAGGACGGGGAGTAATACGAGCATCGACGAAAGAGAAACGCCATAAACATAAACCTTTGGCGCTCGGCGCGGATGTCTCGGATCCGCGTTTGGCCCCCCCGGGGGTGCCTCCGTCGCTGCCCCTGGCGCGCTCCCCAAGCCAAGGAGGGGGGTCCAGCGCAGATCCAAGAAATCCGCGCGGAGCGCCAAAAGTATATGTCATGAGGGCCAAAAACACACAGACACAATTAATCGTCGATTCCATTGAAAATATTGGAAAAGATGGGTAGTGGGGGGGAAGACGGAAACCCAGAAAACATGGGAAAATATGGGGGGTCCTTTCATTTGGTTGTATTTACTTGTGTGTCCCAGGGCCCCTTCAATATGTTCATGGCGTTTTTGTTTCTTCTTCTTCTTCTTCTTCTTCTAGAGAGCTGGGTCAGCGCTTCTTCGGCAACTTGCCGTAGAGCTGGCTCCGTGTCTTCAGCACGCTCGCCCCTGCAGCGTGGACAGCAGAACGTGGCCCAGGTCTGTTTGCAGAACTTGCTGTGCAGCTGGCCCAGATAGCGAAGACCTTACGGCCGGTGCCGCCGACCTTGAAGGGGAACGACGACAACGGCGGCGGCGGCGGCGACGACGACGGCGCTGACGTGGGTCAGGGTCCTCATCGATGCTTCTTGGTGTCTCTTCGAAGCGCTCTAGGGGGCCTCTGGGGGACAGTTTGGGGGCTTCTTGGGAGCCTCTTGGGGAACCTCTTGGGTCCTCTTGGGAGCCTCTTGGGGGCCTCACCGAGATTCCCGGGGGCCTCTTGGGGGCCCAGATTTCTTGAGTGAGAATTTCCTTGATCCTATTTTTTACCAGCTTCGAGCCGACCCCTATCCCTGAGATGGGGACGCCAAGAGCGAAGACAATCTTAGGGATAGGCCCTCAGAAACGGAGGGAATCCTCACGATCGATACCGAGGTGCTCGAGGTGATGCCAAAGACAGGGGGGATAGGGATATGTTTCCAACTGCCACATCTTCGCTGTGTGCAGGGCTCGTCACGTCGCCTCCCCCTAGGGGGTTGCCGCAGCGGCCTCGGTGCGGGCCTTCCGTGGCGGCCCAGAGCTGGCCGGCATCGAACGAGCTGCGCCCTCGGGGAGGCCGCGATCGCTCGCGGTGGAACTCAGCCGCGAGCGGTTCTCCCCTCCCCCTGGAGACTGTTTTTTTTTTAAGGGTCCGGCGATAGCCTGGGTTATCGGGCTTGCCCCTTCCCCCCCCCCTCAGGATATAACCTGACCTTGCCACTTGTGCAGGTCCGCGAGAGGGGGGGCGCGGGCATATGCAGGGCTGCCCACAGCGCGAGGGTTATATAGGTTATCGGCCGACCCCCTCCTGCCCCCCCCCACCCCTGGATAACAAGGGTTATCGCCGATTCAAAAAAAACGGTCTCCTACCCCCTCTGCGCGCCGCCAAAAACTTTCGGAGGTTCGCGCGGATTTCTTGGATCGGCGCTGGCGTCCCCCTGGAGGCGCCTTCGGCGGCGCCCCCCGGCGCGCCTCGCGGCGCCAGGGGAGGGGGGGGTCCAGCGCGGATCCAAGAACTCCGCGCGGCCCTCCGAACGTTAAATCGGGCCTGCCCCTCTACAGGAGGAATTCAGAAATAGTCAATAAATCGTCTGGGTATCATTTTTGCAGCATTTTTTTTACATTTTTTCCCTACCTAGGCTCTGCCTAGAAGGGTTCTTACTCGGTAAGCTTAAAGGGCCGGGCAGTGGGGCCCGCCCCGGGCGGTTCCCCCAGTACCCGCCCCGCGGTTCCCCCAGTGACGTTCCTTTAGCTTCGCGTTGCTTATCTCATCTTAGCTTAGCTTATTCCATCTTATCTTAGCTTAGCTTCATAGTACCTCAGTTTTATATTAGCTTAGCGTACCTTCATATTAGCTTCGCTGAGCTTTAGCATAGCAGAGCACAGCATAGCAGAGCGTAGCACAGCATAGTGCCTCACATCATATCATAGCAAAGCCCAACATAGCATAGCATAGCGCAGCATAGCATAGCATAGCATAGCATAGCACAGCATAGCATAGCGCAGCACAGCACATCATATCATGTCATAGCATAACCCATCATAGCATAACATAGCGCAGCATAGCATAGCATAGCATAGCATAGCGCAGCGCAGCACAGCATAACATAGCATATCATATCATAACATAGCATATCATAGCATAGCACAGCTTAGCATAGCATAGCCTAGCCTAGCTTAGCATAACACAGCGCAGCATGACATAGCATAGTTCAGCACATCATCGCATAGCATAGCATATCATAGCATCTAATAGCATAGCATAGCATAGCATAGCGCAGCATAGCATAGCATAGCATAGCGCAGTACGGCATGTCATAGCATAGCATAGCATAACATAGCATAGCATATCATAGCAAATAATGCTTCTTTCCTAGGGGCTCCAACTTCTAGGTAGGGTCGCACTGGGGTAATGGAGTATTTTTTGAATATTTTATGTTACGTCGAGAATCCCCATGTAGGAGGACATGTCCGACTTAATCCGAACGTTAATGTGCATGCTGGTTTCTCTTCTTCTACTCGGCGGCGTCATCGGGAGGCCGCGATCGCTCGCGGTGGAGCTCAGCGGCGAGCGGTTCGGGGTTCGAGGTGTTCGGATGTTTTCGTAGGCTCTCGGTGGTTTTCGAGCCTCGAGCGGTTCGGGGTTGGAGGTTCGAGGTGTTCGGATGTTTTCGTCGCCTCTCGGCGGTTTTCGAGCCTCGGGATGCTTGCCAGCAGCTGCGCCTGGTCGCGGGCGTTCAGGGGGTGCCCGGATGGTCCCGAACGCCCGTTGGAGACCCGAGGTATGACCCAAAACCAGATTCGGCGGCGAGCGAGGGGGGGAAGCGAGAAGGAGAAGGCCTTCTCAGAAGGCGGCGGGACTTCTCAGAAGCCCTCGCGCTTTCTGAGAGATTGTGTTGTGTTTCTTGGGAAGTCTTAGAAAAACGTCTCAGAAGGGCGGGGGACTTCGAGCTTCTGAGAAGGCCTTCTCCTTCCCATTGCCTCCCCTCGCTCGCCGCCCAGGCAAGGTCCACGCGGTGCCAGGAACCAACGCCGAAGTCGCCACGACATCGTGAAGTAAATGACCTGGGCAACATGAGGCTCGAGTTTGCCAGAACTCGGTTTCTGACGGTCCCGGCATACTTTGTTTTAGGGTCCAGTTTTCGTGTAAAATTCCCAGCGGGTGCCCGTGCCAAATTTCCAGTTAGGTCCCCTCATGCATGTGACGGCCCCGCCAGGCAGCCTCGAGTCCCTCAGTCTCGAGTCTCACATCTCCCTTGCATGAGCTCGCTCGGCCGGGTGCTCTCCCGTCAAACGTTCACGGGGTGATCGGCTCAGGGGGGTGGGATGCACCGACCACCAGTCGCCCGGTCATCGCCGAGAATGGCCTGACAGCCCTCTCCGGCCAGGACCGTTCAGTTTCGCCATCGGGGGCCCATCGCCGATCCATCGGATATACATACATCGCCGATTCCGAATCGATGCTTCCCACCCTGAGCTGGTCTCCCGCGATCGTCCCCCAAGGCAATCGTAGAAGAGGAAATGGAGGAATCGGGGAGGGGGAGCAGGAGGAGGAGGAGGAGGAGGAGGAGGAGGAGGAGGAGGGGGAGGAGGAGGTGGATAAGAAGGAGGAGCTGGAGGAGGAGGAGGACGAGGAGGATGGGGATGAAGAGGGGAGGAGGAGGAGGAGGAGGTGGAGGAGGAGGAAAAGGAAGAGAAAGAAAGAAAAAGGCGGAGGAATGGAGGATGACGAGGATGACGAGAACGAGGAGGAAGAGAGGAGGAGGAGGAAGGAGGTGGAGGAGGAGAAGGAGGAGAAGGAGCAGGAGGAGGAGGAGGAGGACTAGGGGGAGGAGGAGGAAGAGAGGATGATGAGGCCGACTAGGACGAGGAGGAAGAGAGGAGGAGGAGGAGGAGGAGGAGGAGGAGGAGGCAGAGGAAGAGAGGATGACGAGGAGGACGAGAACGAGGAGGAAGAGAGGAAAAGGAGGTGGAGGAGGCGGAGGAGGAGGAGCAGGAGGAGCAGGAGGAGGAGGAGGAGGAGGATGAAGAGGAGGAGGGGGAGGAGGAGGAAGAGAAGATGATGAGGAGGAGGACGGCCGATCAGGAAGAGAGGAGGAGGAGGAGGAGCAGGAGGAGGAGGAAAAGGAGGAGGGGGAGGAGGAGGAGGAGAAAGAGGAGGAGGAGGACGAGGAGAAGAACGGGGATTGGCGCCCCCTGGCGCGACTGCAGGTTGATGCTAGCACCGCCGACGCCCTCGCGGGGGCCTCGGCCGCTTTCGGCCTCGACGGCAAGGAGCCGCCCCCGCCCCCCTCTCCTCGTGTCTTGTGCTGGGAAGCAGGAAGGCTATGACCAAATGAGCACTTCTACTGGGGAGCAGTCGCAGCCCTCTCCCCGCACCAACCAACACCAAACGCTCATTGCAGTCGCCGCCGCATTAGCTTTGCAAGCCAAGTTGCGGCTGGGTGGGTGGGATGACTGCGCGAGCAGTGGAGTTGACACCTCCAAGCTCTTCAAAACTAGTGCACCACGTACCTTACACAACACCTTACTCGCGACATAAATTCTCCTTAGAAGAACAGTTAGGACCTCCCCTGGCTTTATCGGTACACCATTCTGTGTTGCAGTGTACACATGATTCGGCTTCAGCGTCCATCCTAAATATGAATCCATACCATCCCAGCCCAGCCGGGTTCGACGCCCCCCCGCCACCTTCTGGAAAAAAATGCGCGCGCTCGTTCATATACCAGTACAAGTTTCCAAGAGCCCCTTGCAACTAGATAAAAAGCAGTGCGCACGCGCGCGTCGTCGCGCGCGCATCCCGAAATCCTTGAAACAAAATCGTTCCGCAAGGATTTCAAAACCGAGGGCCAACACAATAATTAACAGAACTGGTTTCGCAACGCCGATGTTCAAAAAAGCGTGCACGCGCGCTCTTGCGAATTCTTAAGCAAGCATAGGTTGTCCAATCGTTTTTAAACGTGCTACCAAACCGGCTTCGCGCGCGCGCATGTCGAAATCGTTCGAACGCCCTTGCGCGCGTGCCGTCGCGAGAACCCGTTGCAAACATGGGACGAAATGCGCATCCACCTTCAGTTTCGTCACGATTTCAAAGCCGCGTGTCCAAAACACATGCGAAACCCTTTGGTTTCGCAACGTCAGTTGTTTTGAAGCTTGCGCGCGCGCTCTTGCGATTCTTGTCAACATTTTCATGGAATTCTGCCAAACGGGCCTCTGGTGCCGCATGCCGACATCGTTCGCATGCCCTTGCGCGCGTGGAAGGGGGGGCACCGTCCGTGTCAAATGAAGCCATGCGGCCCCCTTTCGCGCATCGTCCGCGCACGCATGTCGAACTCTTTCCAAAACCTTCATCTCCGACGCGAGGGCGCCGTCAGCGTCGCCGGCGTGATCAGCATCGGCGCCCGCACTGGCCGCGCCTTCGTCGGTTCGAACATCGTCACCAGCATCGCTAGTATCATGCTACCAGGATACCATGCCCGCCCAAGTCGCCGACTCGCAGTGAAGTGCCAGCTGGGATGCGCCCAGCGGTCAGCGTCACCGCGGCCGCGTCGGTGGCGCCAAACTGGCTTGCCGCTGCGCGCGCGTGCTGGGGTTGGCGCGGCCGTAGAGATGCACCAGCCATCGCCAAGCATGCATCGCAATCGCCACCGCATGGGGTTTGCAAACCAAGTTGCGGGTGGGTGGGTGGGTGGGATGGTTGCAAGAGCAACGGATGTGTTAAGCCATTTATGCAAATCAATTGCTCACCACTTATTGCGCCAGTAGGGCGCGCCGCGTGCAACACATATTTGCACCTCGTATCCTTAGGCCACATATGTTGTAATGTGGATATCGCACCATGTAGATTTGACCTGGCCGATTGCACCGGGTAAATTGCGCACTTGTTGGATCACATCACATAGATGGCACCGCACAGATTTCACCATGTAGCGCCACACAAGCTTCACCACAAAATGCCACCACGGTTCTTGCACAACAATGATTGCACAACTTATTTGCGCAATTCAGATTTCACCAAGTCCCACGTCGATAGCACCGCATAACCTGTGCGCCGCGCAGGTTGCACCACGACACAAAAATGCACCACATCGGCTGCAAGACGTTTGTTATCCTCGTTAAAGATAGCATCCGGATCTACCTCCCGCCCCCCGGACTTATCGGGCCCCTTTGGGGGTGTGTATTTTTGTTGTACGTTTCTGCCCCACCGTCCAACCTAAAATGAACTCATGTCATCCCGGCTAAACAAGAATCCCCGTTTTCATCCTTAGCAGAAGTTTTATACGCGCGTTCGTTGATCACAAGTCATAGGCTTCCAAGAGCTCCTTGCAAACGGATGGGACGTGCACGCGCGGGCGTCGTCGCGCGAGCATGTCAAAATCTTTCAACGACCTCAAGATTCGTGAGGGCTTCCAATCCGAATATCACGAACACATCAAAACACATGTCTCCGCAATCAGGTGGGATGTCAAAGACAGTTAGCGCTCGCGCTCTTGCAGATTCTCAAGAAACCGTCAGGTTTTAACATGTTCGCAACATGCGATCAACAACAACCTCTCGCGCCACATGTCGAACTCATCCGAACGCTCTTGCGCTCGTGCTGTCGCGGGAAGCGTTGGCAAACAACGACACGAAGTGCACACGCGAGCGTCGTCGCGGTCGCATGCCGTCATCGATCCACAACCTTCGGCTTCGTAGAAATTTGCAGAACGATTGCTTCGAATACGTGTCGTATCATACGGTTTTGTGGCATCAGTTGTCAGAAGAAGCCTGCGCGCGCAAACTTGCGAATTCTCACGGACACCATGGGTGTTTCAACATTGCCACTGCATTCTGCCAAACGGGGCTCTCGCGCCGCATGTCGAACTCCTCCGAACGCCCTTGCGCGCGTGCTGGGGGGGGGGGCGCGATCCTTGTCGAATGATACCGCGCAGGCTACTCGCGCGCGCTGGCCGCGCGCGCATGTCGAACCCCTTCCAAAACCTTCATCACCGACGCGAGGACATCGTCATCTTGATCGTCGGGCGTGATCAGCATCGGCGCCGTCACTGGCGTTCGCTGTCGTTATCGCCACCATCGGCACCATTATCGCTACTTTCATCATCTTGTCTAGTCTTGTCGGCGTCGCCATGATACCGCGCCCGCCCAAGCAACCGGCTTAAAATGGTGTGCCCGCTGGGATGCGCCCGGAGGTTTGCGCCTCCGCGGCCGCGTCAGTCGCGCCGTATTAGCTAGCCTTTGCGCGCGCGAGCATGCGCGGGCTAGCACGGTCGCAGAGATGCACCAGCCAACGCCAACCACTCATCGCAATTGCCGCCGCATCGGTTTTACAAACCAAGTTGCGGGTGGGTGGGTCGGACGATTGCGCGAGAAATGGAGTTGACAATTCGCCGCGGGCATTGATGAATTACATCTTGTGCGCAGCGTAAAATCCGCAGCACTAGTTGCATATCAACTATAGCAACACATGTATGTGGCACAACGTGGGTTGCTCCAATGTGCGGCACAACGTGCGTTGTTCGACTTGTATTGCACAATCCAGACTGCACCACAGGAGTTGCACAGCAGGTTTTGCACCACATACACGGCACAACGTTCATTGCATACCATCCGTCTCACAAGCCCAAGTTGCAACACGTGTGTTGCTTCACATAGCTGGCTCAACGCCGATTGTACAACATCGTCTGCTATAAACGCATTGTTTGGTGTCCACGCTGGCTAACCTCTATCTAACATGACCGTACCCGTCTGATTCCCAGTGCCGACGGCCGGTCGCCGTGGAGGAAAAGTGGTGGAAGAATCTTGCTGCTGCTCCCCCTCCCCCGTCTCCATTGGAGGAGTGCTTTCGCTGAGCGTTAGGTTGGTTGCGGTTCGGGGGAGAAGAACCCGTCTCAGGGGTGGGAGACATGATAAGGAAAAGGAGGAGGATACTGATGATGATGCAGATGACGATGATGATCATGAGAAAAAGGAGGAGGAAAAGGAGGAGGAGGAAGGAGGAGAAGGAGGAAGAGGGGAAGGGGTAAATGTAGGTAGGGACCAGGGTGGGGGAACGGGTACGGGTAGGGGTGTGGAGGAGGAGGAGGAGCAGGAGGAGGCGGAGGAGGAGGAAAAGGAGGAGGAGGAGAAGTATGAGGAGGAGGAGGGGGAATGATGGAGTATGATGCTGCTGATGATGATGCTGCTGCTGATGATGATGCTGCTGTTGATGATGCTGATGATGATGATGATGATGATGATGAGGAGGAGGAGGAGGAGGAGGAGGAGGAGGAGGAGGAGGATGCTGATTCTGACAATGTTGATGATGAAAATGATGATGCTAACGAGGAGGATGAGGAGGATGCGTGGGAGGTGGAGGAGGAGGAGGAGGAGGAGGAGGAGGAGGAGGAGGAGGAGGAGGGAGAGTGGTAAGGTAGGCGGAGGGGTAGGGGGGGTGGTACGTGTGCGGGTCAAGACACCCGCTAGATACCAAGCCGTCAAGCTCACTCTCACCCGCCCTCCCAACACATAAGTAGCACCCGAGCCTGAACATGTTGAGCGGTCGTCTTTGGATGGACAGCTACTGGGGACCAACACCGACCCCATGTGCGCGACGCTGGGGCGAGGTGCGCCACACGTGCCAGGTGCGCCACGCGCGCCAGGCACCCCTAGGGCCCGAGCGTGCCAGGCACGCCTGGTGCGCCCCATGCTCCGCGGGCGCCAGGTGTGCCGCATACTCCAGCCGCGCCAGGTGCGCCACGTTCGGGGCACGCGCAGGGTGTGTCAGGTGCGCCTGCGCACGTGACAGCACACATCGGGAACCATGTCGGCCCCCACCGTTCTTGTCGAAAACCCATGCCCAATCAGTGTGCGTGGTGGGCTTGCACACAGCAGGCCATACGCCTTCTCCCCTGCCGTCCCTGTCAAACAAACCACTTGACAGTGATCGCAGGGTGGCCGCGCATCATCCAGATGTAGCCGAGAGGTGCATATTGTATGTTTTTGTTTGGGGGAGGGGGGATGATAGCCCTGCGCACAGCAGGCAATGTGCTGACACCCCCGCCGTCCCCATCAAACACATCAAGGTGCTCGCGGAACTTGCGAGCATGACTCAAGACGTTGCCTCAGAGTGTACATTGCATTGTGTTTGACAAGGGTTGTGTGGGGGCCGCATCGGGTTGGCCGCGCATGCGCAACATGTGGATGCATGGTGCGCTTTGTATGTTTTTTTTGACAGGGATGGTGGTGTGTGTGGGTGTGAGCATGCATGGGGTCCTCATGGTTCCTGGTTAACTGCCGGTCGCCTGGGGAAGGGGGTGTATATTAATAGGGAACGCTGATAAGGGGTAGGGAGTAGGAGCAGGTGGAGGAAGAAGAGGAGGAGGAGGAAGAGCAGAAGGAGGAGGAACACGAAAAGTGGAAGGATCCCCCATCCCGAACCCCCAGAAAAATAGACGCATAAGAGGCGGGTCTCGTGCCCCGAGGAGTACGAACAGGAAAAGGGCCCCCCTCGTCCCCGAAGGCCCAGAACAGGAGATGGATGAGGGCCTCCTCCTTTACCTCCTCCTCCTCCTCCTCCTCCTCCTCCTCCTCCTCCTCCTCCTCCTCCTCCTCCTCCTCCTCCTCCTCCCCCTTCCTCCCCCTCCTCCCCTTCCTCCCCCTTCTCCTCCCCCTTCTCCTCCCCCCCCTCCTCCTCCTCCTCCTCCTTCCTGGAGCCCTCGGCGCGGATGAGGCCCTTCCTCGCCGTGGGCTGGGCTCCGCCTCGAGCCGCGGCGCGCCCAGGGCGAGGTCCGGGGGCAGATTTTCCGGGGGGGGGCCCCGCACGAGCCGGTCTTACGTCGTCGATCTCAGGGGTTCAAGCGGGCTCACGTAGTGGCGAAGCGTACTGGCGTGCCTATAGGCCCACCAGACAATGTTCTAAGCATCTTTCTGTGGCCTCCACGACATGTTCTCAGAACACTTCTGGCTGAGACTGTCTTGTTTTCACACATCGGGAGTATGTTCTAAGAATCTTGTTTCTGTCATTAGAACATTTTTGGGGTTCTAAGAACATTTCGTGGTAGGCCTGTAGGAATGCTGGGACGGTCGGTCCCCGCTCAGCGAGCGGCTTCGTCTGTCCTCGGGCGCCTTCGCGCCTCGGGATGTTTCTCGGCGGCTGCGCCTCGTCGAGAGCGGGACCGAGGGCCGAGGGCGAGATCGGGGCGGACGATAGGGGGAACCGAGAAGGAGATCGAGGAGAACGGGGAGGCATCGCGCTCTGCGGTGCCCGACTCGTCCCGAACGGCCGCCAGAGGCCCGAGTTGTGGCCCGGAAGCTAGACTTACGTCGGGCCTGTCCCTCGACAGGGGGAATATTCAAAAATATTTCAAAATGGTCTGGGGACTATTTTGTCAGGCTTTTTGACAATTTTGGGGCATTTTTGGAGTATGTTTGATTTTTCGTCGAAAATCCCCCTGTATGGGGGAGGCGCCCGACTTCAGTGTAGGTTTTCGGCGTCCTTGGGCCAGATGAGGAGCTCGTCCAGGGCAAGAAATCCATGCCTTTTGGTGGACCACGTTGCGACACAATAGCGCGACGTTTGGGGTTCTGGCATTCCGTCTTGCCCCGAGCTCCACGTCGCAGCGCCCCACGGGTGTAGATGGATTCCCATAGGGGGGCGCGGGGTAGGCGGGAAAGCCTGGGAAGTCGCGACTCCGTGCCTGGCGAGCCTTTGATTTGTACTCCATTTCGGGGTCCATTCACACCGCAGACGGCATTTTCGGAATCCGCCTGTCTTCCGAGGAAGCTGCGAAGATGAACGTGGAGACGTACCGCCAGATTGCCACCAACATCTTGAGCAGCGGTCGCGCGGGATTGTAACTCACACCTCGCCGCTTGTATGCCGTCGAGTCGACGGCTGTCGTGTTAAGTGCCGTGTTGTTGATTCGATGGTTGGTGCTGCCGCTCTCATGGATGCCTCATCTGATGGGCCTGTTTCCCACCACCACCACCACCATAAGTTGGAGGGGGGAAGGAGGAGGACGAGGAGGAGGAGGAGGACGAGGAGGAGGAGGTGGAGGTGGAGGAGGAGGACCCCCTCCCCCTCCAACTTAGGGTGTTGGTGGTGGAAAACAGGCCCATCATCATCGGCGACGTCTTTGGCCACGAGCTGCAATCTGGGGCTCAACGTTGGTCGTCGGCGGTGGCCAGCCGTCGGAGGTGCCCGTCCCCCCCATCTTTGCCCGCCGGCAACCTCATACTTTCGGGGCGAGATGTTGAGGAACACGTTTTTCGTGCCGTGCCTTTCACGTCCAACAAAACGATTCCCTCGCGGAGGTTGATCGACCTCCTACCTTGACACGTCGATTAAGGAATTTGCCCGGCCGTTTTCGGTTCGCGAGAGGGCGTCGCGGCCGTCATTTTTGCGGGTCCAGTTCCGTCGGTTTCGGTCCCAGGCCGTTTTCACTAAGGGGAGGTTTACTAAAGGGAGGTCTGACCACCGCCGAGTTGTTCGTGCCGTGCCTTTCACACCCAGCAGAACGATTCTCTCTCCTGCGTTGCTGTGAGGTGATTGTCCACCCGCATTGGGCGAGAGCCCCTCCACCTTCTCTCCATTCCATGGGTACACCTTAGGCGATGCTTAAGAAAACCCAAGTTTTCGGCCAGAGTCTCGATTTTTCTTAACATTTCAATATAAATCTTAAGATTTCAATGGAAATGTTGGGTTTTTATTCAAGTTCTGAGACTATGAATTTCTTAACCCATGATTTCTTAAGCATTTCGCAGGGTGTACATCGTTCTTCCCAGCAGGCTTCAAAGGGGGTTGGCCCGGAGTGCGGGCACGCTTTTGTTCAAAGCGCAGCAGCGCCTATGGGAGGCTGCGAGGTGCTCCCGAAGCAATGCTTACAATTGTGGGGCCTTGCCTGCGTTTATCTGGATTCGAGCGAGACCTCTGGGACGCGATTCAATCACATGCTGCACGCTCATCTCAGCCTACACCTTAGGCGATGCTTAAGAAAACCTAAGTTTTCGGCCAGAGTCTCGATTATTCTTAACGTTTCAATGTGAATCTTAAGATTTTAACAGAAAGGTTGGGTTTTTATTCAAGTTCTGAGACTATGAATTTCTTAACCCATGATTTCTTAAGCATTTCGCAGGGTGTATGTCGCATCTCAAACGCGGTCCGCGGTGCTCCACAGCCTGGGTCAGGCCATGCGGGCTCAGCCGTTGCCAGCAGCGTGTTTCGGCAGTCACCACCAGATGTTATCACACGTAGGATTCCACGCCAGGGGTTCCGACCACGCAGTGTTCCACACACGCAGTTTTCCACCTGCAGGGTGCCTTTTTCCTCAACTCGGTCCCCCAGAGGTCTGGGCCTCTTCCCTGGGATTGGCTGTGCATCCCGAACAGTTGTTGTTGACATTCTAGGGGCCCAGCGAGGGGGCGGGGAGGCCGAAAATGACACCGACCCCCCAGCCGCCACTGTTCCGCACCGCGAGGAAGTCTTGGGGAGCAGAAGCAGCAGGAGGAGGAGAGCAACCTGCCACCCGATGCCGCCGATCCCGAGGCACGCTTCCAGCCGATGGCAGGTCGACGCTCGACTGCGCGCAGGGACCGCCGCCGTGCTGGGTGAGGGAAGCTCGGTCCGGTCGGTCGACACGCTGGTTCCTCCTCCTCCCCCCTCTTACTCCCGCCCCAGATCTCCGACAGAGTGTTTGTCCCCAACCACCCTGTGGTGCGGGGTCCTCACTTTGAGGAGACAGTCCACGCGTCCTTCAGCATTATGATCATGGTCATGGTCATGGTCATGATCATCACCATCATTGCCACCACTAGCATCATCATCGCCATCATCATCAGCATCACCATTACCAGCATCATCATCATCATCATCATCATCATCATCATCCTCATCATCATCATCATCATCAGTATCATCATTATCAGCATCATCATTACCATCACCATCACCATCATCATCACTATCATCAGCAGTTTCATCATCATCATCATCAGCATCAGCATCGTCATCATCATCGGCATCGTCATCGTCGGAGTCATCCTCATCACCATCATCAACATCATCATAATCTCGCCGCCATCATGACCATCCTCGTCATCTGCATCATCGCCGTAATCATGATCACCATCATCGTCATCAGCGTCGGCTCACTCCTCACACGTTTGGTGGTCCCACGGGGAGCTCCACCGAACGTCTCAGTTTCGCAGCCCGCATGCGTCTCCCCAACCCAGTGCAGTGCTTCGTGGCCTCACAGAGAGGTCCGCCGAAGGTCCCAGTACGAGGACCGCATGCGTCTCCCCCCCATCCAGTGCAGCGCTTCGTGGCCCCACAGGGAGCTTCACTGAAGGTCCCTTCGGTGCAGCCCGCATGCGGCTCCCTCACACACTACAGCGCTTCGTGTCCCCAGAGGGAGCTCCACCGAAGGTCCCAGTGGCGCGGCCCGCATGCGTCCCCTCGCAGTACAGCGCTTCGTGGCCCCATAGGGAGCTCACTGTGGTTTGGCCACAGATGCGTGGCCCGAAAGGGAGGGGGGGCGGCCCTCGATCCACCGTGGTTTGGCCTCGGTGGCGTTCACCACGGAGCCAGACTCGGGCCCCCCTCTTTGCTCAGTTCCCCATCTTATCCTCGGGCAGATCGAGAGGAGCACCAGAAGCGTTGAAGAAGCCTCCAAGCCTCCAGGCTGCTGCTGCTGCTCTTTCTCGTCCTATCGCTTTGCGAGCGCCGGAACGGCGAATAGGTAGACTCGCCGTTCCCGACAGGCCTGCTTGAGCGAAGACCACACGAGGGCCTGTCTGCCGATCGCTGCACACTAGCTCCTAGTTCATGTGGCGCATCACACGAATCACACTGATTTTATGAAGAAGCGCCCTCGCGACACAGTCCGGAACGCACGCACAAAATAGTCCCCCTTTGCATGTGCCGTGATCCCAAACATTCATTGCAGCATGTCCCGCTCCATTGGTGATGTGAGTTCCGTGGGCACGGCTAGACCCTCAACGCGCGCGTGGTTCTACTGTGTGTACTTGCATACACAGATGCGAGTGTGCACGCATGTGGGATTCCAGGCCGCCGTCTGCGCCCAGCGCAAGCGCCGCCAGGAAGGGATGGGGCTCCTTTTGGGAAACCGGTCGTGGACCGCGGGACCTTCCCAGGACCAGCATCTCACCCGGAGTCGTTTTTGCCGACGGTCCTGGGGCCTATGGGAGGGCCCAAGGGTTCAGTCGGGCCTGTCCCTCTACAGGGGGACTACTCAAAAATAGTAAGAAAATAGTCAGGGGACGAATTCTTTACTATTTTTGACCATTTCGGGGTATCTTGGTGAGTATGTTTAATTGTTCGTCCGAATCCGCCTGCAGGGGGGCACGCCCGACCGAACCCCGGGGCCCCGCACGGCGAGCAATCCCAGGAACTATGCCCTCGGGGACCCGTTTCCATCCTGAGGGTCGGCTCGTGCCACCGCGCGCCCCTCGCATGGGCGCGCTGGCGCAGCCGCCGGCAGCTCTCGGCGGCGCTCGGGGCGCCGGCGGCGACGCTTCGGGGGAGCAGCTCGGGCAAGATGCCGGGCCCCGGGGTGGCGCGAGGCCCTCGTCTTCGGGGCCCCCGCGGCGGCGTCCCAGGTCCTCTCCGATCCCGCCCGGGGGGGGAGGAGGAGGAGGAGGAGGAGGAGGAGGAGGAGGAGGAGGAGGGGGAGCAGGAGGAGGGGGAGGAGGAGGAGGAGGAGGAGGAGGAGGAGGAGGAGGTGGAGGAGGAGGAGGAGGAGGAGGAGAGGAATGGGGTGGGGAGGAGGAACTGTAACCTGTAATTAGGTCGGGCGTGTCCCTCTACAGGAGCTGATTCAAAAATCGTCAACATTGTTTTCGAACGCATTTGTTTCGTGATTATGCTTGAATTTGTTTTGGGTATTTTTGATTGTTCGTCCTAAATCCGCTTGTAGGGGTACATGACCGACCTAAACCTATAATAACTGAAACTTCAGCGTTCTGCGCGGATGCGCCATGCGGAGAGATCAGGAGGGAAAAAGACACAGACACAGTTATTCGTCGATTCCCCAGAAAACACGACAACATATGGGAAGCGAGGGGGAATGTGAAAATTCAGAAAACTTGGAATATACGTAGATATCCTTGGATTTGCGTGTATCCAGTTGTGTGTCCCTGACGAACTGGCGTGGAAGTGAATTTCACTCTGGCGCGCCCCCTCCGCTGCCGGCGCCGGCCACTCAACTCTTCCGCGAGCGCAGGGGGTACTCACCCAAGGGGTGGATCTTCCCAAACTCTCCGCGTTATGACACATCGCGACGCAAGGTTTTTTATTTCGAAGAAGAAAAACGCCATAAACCATTGTTGTTTGGCGCTCCGCGCGCATTTCTTGGATCCGCGTTGGGCCCCCCGGCGGCGCCTCCGGCGCCGCCTCTGGCGCTCCGCGCGCCAGGGAGGGGGGTCCCGGTCAGATCCAAGACATCCGCGCGGAGCGCCAACAGTTTATGTTTATGCCGTTGTTTTCTCCTCCTCGGCAAGTCGCGACGCAAGGTGTTTGGCCGTTCTTGGCTTCAGGAGCCATCATCAGACCCCAGGACCTGGGTCCAGACTTTAGGGGTACCATGCTGCGGACAAGAGTCACGAAGTCGGCGTACTGGGTCCGCCCGGCTCCTGATTCCTCCTTGCTCGGCCCCGCGACATGTTGGTCACGGCCCCGCGACATGTTGGTCACGGCCGCGACATGTTGGTCACGGCATCGGCGGGGTACAAGCTCAGAAGGCATCCAGGCGCTCAGCGACAGCGACCTCCTTGCGAAGCTTCTTCTGCTTGGATCTCTGCTGGGGTTGCTAATGGGATAGGTTGTAGTTAAGTGGATGCCAAATGGGTCATTTCCGACCTAACCGAGCTTATGAGTGGGTTGCAAGTGCCCTGAGCGGTTGGTTTCGGGGGGCAGAGATCTGGACAAAGTGGACGGAGCCCATTTGGCAGCTTTACATAACCCTTGTCAGGTCATTTAGGGCACTTGTAACCCATTCGTATGCTGGGTTTGGCGCTATAGACCCACAGTTGTGTCCACGTGTAACCCCCTCATCCCCTTAGCAACCTCAGCGGTGCTCCAAGCGGAAGCTTCTTCTGTCCAGAAGCGCAGTTTTGCCACAGCATATGTGGATGCTGATTGTGATGCCCATGGCCCGGGTATCAGCGGCGTCAGTTCGACGATGCCGGTTGTTATCCAGCTGGGGAACGCCTCCAGGAGTCCTCCAGCTCAGCGACATGGCCTCCTCGAAGATCTTCGAGGCCGTCGCGGCGCCGGTGCTCCAGAAGGACGCACGCGCTCCCCTCCCAGCCCTGGTGCTGCAAGGGGACGCTCTATTTGTTATATACGCAGTCGTCCCCTCAGGCTCGCCGAGCCCAGGACGTCCACATCCCTCGCCGTCGGAAGCCTGCTTCTCCAAGGCACCAGGAGGCAGTTCAGGAGCACTTGCATGTTTCTGGAGGTCGGAAAGGAGTATGGCATCAGAGGGTGTGGTGCCAATCGTGGAAATCGAGATGCTATCTGCGATAGATGGCACCGCCAGGCTCCACATTGGCACCATACCCCTTTCTGCCACACCCCTTTCCTACATCCAACCTTTGTCATTTCTGCTGGCCCGCGGCGTCTCGGATTTGACTCGCGGGCGGGGCTGCGCCGGGGCACAGGCGAAGCTCACTGCGGTGCAAGAGAGACATGGAAGGCAGGAGGACAGGATGCAGGGGCGGCGCGCGACCGCCGGCGAGTGCCCTCGGAGCGTGGAGGGAGTTCCTTGGGGTGTGCCGCAGCAGGCTCGTCGAAGTGGGAGCGCAGTCGGAGGGCGACACGCCCAGGCACGGAGGAGCCTCGCGCGCGCCCTCGAGGCAGTGTTGTCCAAGCACGGCTACCGTGCTCGCGCTCTCCTAGTGCTGGGTCGGGCATGTCCCCCTACAGGCGGATATATTGGGCGAAACTTGCACGTGCAGTCGGAGGACGGCACGCCCAGGCACGGAGGAGCCTTGCGCACGCCCTCGAGACAATGGTGTCCAGGCACGGCTGCCGTGTTCGCGTTCTTCGAGTGTTGGGTCGGACACAACACATGATCGAGTACATGACCTGGCGAAGGACCCGACCAGATGCATGTGTGAGTCCCTATTGGGCCATGATGCGTTTGAGGGGTGTGCCGAGATGGGTGCGGCGGGCGCAATGCGAACGCAGCCACTGGGGCCTTCGGTGGAGCTCCCTATGGGGCTACGAAACGTGCGATGGGTGTGCCGACACGGGTACGGCGGGCGCATGCGAACTCAGCCACTGGGGCCTTCGGTGGAGCTCCTTGTGGGGCCACGATCTGTGTGAGGGGTGTGCCGAAATAGGTGCGGCGGGCGCATGCGAAGGCAGCCGGTGGGTCCTTCGGTGGAGCTCCCTATGGGTTCACGAACCGCGTGAGGGGTGTGCCGAAATGGGTGCGGCGGGCGCATGCGAACGCAGCCTTTGGGGCCGTCGGTGGAGCTCCTCATAGGGGCCACGAAACGTGTGGGGGGCGTGCCGAGATGGGTGCGGCAAGTGCATGCGAACGCAACCACTGGGGCCGTCGGTGGAGCTCTCCATGGGGCCACGAAACGTGTGAAGGGTGTGCCAAGATGGGTTCGGCGGGCGCGTGCGAACGCAGCCACTGGGGCCTTTCGGTGGGGCTCCTTGTGGGGCCACGATGCGTCTGAGGGGAGTGCCGACATGAGTGTGGCGGGCGCATGCGAACGCTGACACTTGGGCCTTGGGTGGAGCTTCCTATGTGGCCACGAAACGTGTGACGGGCGTGCCGAAACAGAGACATGCGGAGGGCATAAGCGAGGAGAGGAAGGTGGGAGGAGGGGGAGGAGGAGGAGAGGAGAGGAGAAGAACGCGGGGACCGTCTCTTCAAAACTAGGACCCAGCACCACAGGATGGTTGGGACAAATAATAGAACCATCGTCCCCAGACAATTTGTTGTGACTATGTGTGAACATTCCTCCCGTAGAGGGACGGGCCCGACTTCATGCTAGTGGGGGCCTTTGGGAGGGATCTTCCTGGAGGCCTCCGGCAGCCTCTGGCGGCCTCTGTGGGGCTCCGGGGCCCCGCCGTCGCGGGGAACTGCGGGAGAGTATCCGCAGCCTCTGACCTCCGAGGTCCAGGGAGGCCCGTGCCCGAAGTGGCGCGGCACAGGGGTGCTTCCCGGCCTCGGAGGCGCCTGCTTTGCCACTCGCCGAGCGCGTTCCACTACTCGCAGGGTGCCTGCTCGCAAACGCCCCGCAAAACATCGTTTGCTGCCTCGGCGCAATGTATCGTCAATCCCCCGCGGCGGATCCAGGCCGTCTGCGAGTAGTTACTCTGCGAGTCGTGGAGCGCGCTTGTCTATCTGCGCCCCCCCAGCGTCGCTCCCCCGCGGTCGTCGCGGCCGCGGCTGGGGGGCCGCGTCCGCTGCCGCTGCTGCTGCTGCTGCTGCTGCTGTGGCTGCCGTCGTGGGCGGTAGGCCGCGGATTGCACCCACGAAGCTCCCTCTTGCACCTGCTCCTCCCGCAGGGAGAAGAGTGTCGGGTGCGGGGAAGGATGTGAGGACTCGCCTCCCCCGGTGGATTGGTCCTCTTCCCTTCGTCGTCTCGTCATCGGCGTCCCGTTCAGTCCTCGTCCCCAGCTGTGCGCGGCTTGCTACCCCCATCTTGCAGACGTTTATTCGTCGTCGTCGTCGTCGTCGGCTCTCTCCTCGTTTCGTCCTCGTCCCTGGCCTTGCGCCGCATCACCCCCTTTGTTGCGGACGTTCGCGCGTCGTCGTCGCGCCGTCGTCGTGCCCAGCGCCCCTCCAATGCCGCACCCGGAGATTTCCCGCCGCCCGCTGCGCGAGGGGCAACTGGCGGCTTCGTTTTTTTGACACGGGAAGTTCTGTACTCCTGCAGCGCTTCTTGTCGGACATTGGACCGTATGCATTACCAGTGGCGGGCCGTTTCTTGAATCCCAGGACTTTTTGAGGATCGGGGAAGACGCTGGGTTGGTGTGGTGTATACTTTGTTCCCCGACGTCCCGGGAAAACAACGAAACATGTGTACACCAGGATCCCGTGTACACCAGAATTCGCGTTCCTGTGTGACTTTCAGCGCATGGTCGGGAAAAGCGTCGGTGTATAGAGCTCGTTTCCCTATCTTGGTAATGAGCGAAAGGATTTCATGCCTTGTGTCTCTCACCCTGGATGTTGCTCCTGCTGGCAGCCGTGAGCTCTGCTATTAGCTCTGCCCCTAGCCCTGCTGGCAACGAGCGTTTCTGCTGTGCTCGATGCCTGCTCCGACTGGCACCGTTGGCGCTACCTGGCTGTTTTTGCCGGTGCCGCTCCACCAGCTGCTGCTGCAGTGCCTGGAACAGTTCGGACCATGTCGGTCATGAGCGCCATTTTCGATTACGGTGCCGAAGTGCTGAGCACGACCAGGTCGCTCATCCTGCCCGCTGCGCTGCTTCTGCCCCCTCTGATATCCTGGGGGTCTGCTGGCATTGCTGATGGTATTTCTCGTTCTGGTGCCCCTGGTGCTTCTACCGCGTGTCGGTGATGCCCCTCTTCCCATTGAGGGAGAGCTCTGGGGTCACCTTAAGTGGCGGGTAGGCTCACGGGGAGATGCATCGACGCCCAGTGGCCCATCCATCGTCGATAGGGGCCCGAGAGCGGTTTCAATCTCGACGTCCGCCCCCCCCTCCCCCCGAGATGAGCTTCCACTTCGCGCTTCGCACTTCGCGTGGCGCGGAGCGCTGAGTTAGGCAAGGTCCCTCGCGGTCCCCCGAAATGTTCTGTCTCCCAAGGTCTCCAGAGGTCTCGGGAGCTCACCCCGGAGGCCTCAACAAAACAAACCACGCCGCACAACTTGTCCGTCTGGCCACAATGGGTGTCCGCGCTTCGGTCGGTCCGGCCGCTTCGCTGCCGCTTTGCAGGTGGTCTGCTCGGTTCGGTCGGTTGTGGACGCCGCTGCCGCGTCCTTGCGTTCTCCCTCGGCTGCTTCCCGCAGAGCTGGTTTCGTTCGGATTTCGGCCCAGCTGCCAGTTCCGGCTGCGCTGCCGCCGTGGACGGCCTTGGAGCGGACGGCCACCAAGTACCCATTCAGTGAGGTGCTGGGCCGCGGCGAGAAGGCGCCACGAACTACGCTGCCTGCACTTGGGCGCGGCCAGCACGCGCCGGAGGCGCAGTGTGCGCAAGCGCTCTCACACATCTTCGCGGGCTTCCGTTCAGGGGAGGCAAAACCACCTGGACCCGACAATTGGCGTTTACTGAACGGCCCTGGGCGTTTACTAGACAGCCCTGCCCTGCAGCACAGGGCTCGGCGCTCCTGCGCTGCCGTCGGGCCAGCCGGGCCCCACCGAGCCTGCCACCCGGGGCCCAGGATCGGTGCACGCGGCGCGGCCCGCGCCCGGAAGGCGTGACTCAGGAGGGGACAAAACACACAGACACAATTAATCGTCCTTTCCTAGGAAAATATGGGAAAACATGGGGATTCGGGAGGAAGACAAAGACCCAGAAAACATAGGAAAATATGGGGAGTCCATTTATTTGTGTGTATCTATTTGTGTGTCCCAGGGCCCCTTCAGTGACCACACGCCGATCCTGGGCCACAAGGGCTAGCCTGGCCCAGCGCTGGGGTCGGTGCACAGCAGGTGCACCGAGTCAGGGGCCAGCTGCCCAGCAGGTGCCCCGCGGGAGTATCCGGGACCCCCTCGCGTTGTGAAGAAATCGCGCCGGCAGGTTTTCTGTTTTTTCGGCCTCCGGGGGCCCTCACCGGGCCCCGGGACAGTCAAACAACGACTCAGGAGGAAAAGCCAGTCCAGGGGAAGGGGTCGACACCTCTGGGGGTCGGCTTTGTGAACAAGTCAAGACGTCGGGGGACGGCGGTAACAGGGGCCCCTCAGAAGCCCTGTGGCGCCTTCCTTGGGAAGTCCGAGGACTGTCAACGGAGACCGCGCCCCTATAGAAGTCTTGTAGCAAGGTGTCTTGCCGCACGTACCTGCCCCAGACGCCCGACGTCATGTGCTTGGTTTTTTCATGGCCTGGGCCCCCGCACAGGGCTCGTTTCGATTCCTCCGATTCGATTCGATTCGACTTCGATGGATTCCGATTCCGATTCGAGTCGATTTTGGATTTCGATGTGGGCTCCGATTTCTTACTGGACGCATACTCGCCTGCCGATTTCCGCCGATCCGACTTCTCCCGACCCGGCTGCCGATTTCCGCCGATCCGACTCATTTCGATCGCCGACCCGACTTCTCGACTCGATCCTGGGCTTCCTTGCCCGCAGGTCTGGACCCCTTCCCGGGGACCGGTGCTTCTTCCCGGCGGGGTTCTGGCATGAGGGGCCCGAGGGGGCGAGGGGGGCCCCTGGCATGCACCTGCTGTGCAGTGGTCGCCGCCCTGCCGGGCTCGGGGGCGGCAAAGAGGGGGGTGATGACTGGGGGGGGGTGGATAACTATCATGGCGTGGGCCATGATGTTTCCCCAGATCTCATGGCGCCTCTTCTTACCTCATTACGTCCCTGGCCCCCCCGCTGGGCCGCGCACATGCCGCCGGTCATGATTTGCCCCCCCCCTCTCTTGGACACCCCCCACTTGGCCGCTCCCGATGGGCCAGCTTCGGGCGGGTTTTGACGCGGACGTGTCCGGTCCAGAGCGTCCTGGAACGCTTTCAGAGCGTTCTGGAACGCTCCCCAGACCCCCTCGCATTGTCAACAAAATCGCGAATGGATGTGTTTTGCCATTTTCGGCCTCCGGGGGTTCCCGGACCTCGGGGCCGTCAAGAAACGACTCAGGATGAAAAACCGGTCCCTGGGAAGGTCCAGACCTCTGCGGGTCGACGCTGTGAACAACATCTCGACGTCGGGGGTCTGGGTCTGAGAAGGCCGCGACGCCCGATGTGCCCTCTGGAGCCGCCGGATCTGAGAGACGCGGTGTATCGTCACCCAGTTTTGTCATTAAGTCGGGCGTGTCCCCCTATACAGGGGGATTTTGGGCGAAAAAAGAGATATTAAAAAATGCACCCCCCACATGGGCAAAAATAGTAGCAAAACATCGTCCCCTGTTTATTTTTGTTTGACTCTTTTCTAATCCTCCCCCTGTGGGGGGACGGGCCCGACTCACATTTTTGTCCTCGTCCTGGCCTCGTCTGGCAGAGGACGCCGAGGCGGCCGTGCAGACGATCCTGCTGGACCTCGAAGACGCGCAGGCCGCCACGGCTGCCGGCGACCAGCTGGGCGCCAGGAGCTGCCGCCCGCGCAGTGCGACCGGGGGGCGCTCGGCCCCGGAGGTGGAGTCGGGCCTGTCCCTCTGCAGGAGGGATATCAGAAATAGTCCAGAAATCATGTGGGGATGCTTTTGTTGACAATTCTTGCTCATGTGGGGGGGGCACTTTTGGGGTATTGTTTGGTCTTTCGCCCAAAATTCCCCCCTGTATGGGGGACACGCCGAACTTGACCCTGAGGTCCTGGCGCCGCATCTGCTTTCACGGCGCGGGGCGTTGCATCGCTTCGGGCCCCGAGGCCCTCACAGATCGAGCCGGCTCGAAGAATGCCGCACAGAGATAGGGCCGAGGGCTCCAGGCGTGATGGTCACGATGTTGCACTTTTGTTCAGGGTGGGCCACCATCGCGCGGCACGCACAGTGTTGGGCTCGCGCGCGAGGGGGCGGCGCAAGTGGATCGAGGTCTTGGGATCGAGATTCGTAGGTCTTCGTCGGTGCAGGGGCGGCGCCGAGCGCGCGCGCGAGCGCTCACCGAACCGCAGCGGCGAGCGATGGGCGGCGCCGTCGCAGCAGAGCGGGGGCAAAGGGAGAGGAGAAATGGGGGGAATTGGGGGGGGAAGTCCGGGGGTTCGTGCATGTCGTTTCCCTCTTCTTGGCCTGCGAGGGGGCATGCTTTCGAGATTCTGGTCGGGGGTCGCCCCAGGACAGGTCGGGGGTCGGGCTTGAGGGAGGAAGCTGACCCCGACCTCCGACGTCGTGATTCTTTTGCGAAGCGGCCCCCCTGAGCTCTATACCCCTTTCCCAGGACGGGTGTCTCATCCCCAGCCGTCTTTCGACGGTCCAGGGGCCGAGGAAGGCCCCCAGAGGCCGATCCTGTGGACAAGCGCTCCGTCGTGATCCTTTCACGGCGCGAGGAGGCCTGGGTCGAGGACGAGGAGGAGGAGGCGGAGGCAAGGGCAAGCTTCTGCCTTGGACACTCGGCTCTCTGCTGTTCTCTCGCCCCCCCCCCCCTCCCTCCTGCCCTCCTCCCTCGCTCGCTCCCTCGCTCCCTCCCTCCCCTCCTCCCTCCCGCGCCCCCTCGCCTGCTCCCCCCCTCGCGGCCCGAGGGCCGCACGCGGCAGCAATGGCCTCGGAGCAGCACGGCCTCTCGCTCCGGCGCGCGCTCCGTGCCCAGACCCCTCAGAGCCACGGC